GAGCAGAGCTCTTTGCTTGCTTCTTTTCTTTAGCCAGATAGGAAAGGCTGATGGTGACAGTGAAGGCTCCATTTATACAGTGAGGCCATGATTTAGGCCTGAAGTATTTGAGTGAAAATAATCAAATATACAATCACTTACGAAGACTCACAGGTAGATCATAGCCCTAGTTTTACCTGAATGATTCACATCCATGCTTTAAAGTCTAATGCAGTTTTATCTCCTTAGGCAGTGAGGACCAAAAATAGAGTGCTTATTTCAAAGAATTGAACCTTAAAAGACTGAAGCTAAAATATCTTCCCTGAGGACAACATCTTTTCCCACACACTTTCTAAAGCTGCCCTTAGGAAAGCTGAGGCCTGTTGATGAACACTGGAATAGCATTGCAGTTGACAAAGTAATGCTACATTGACTTGAATTAGAAACGAAAATAAGCCTGGAAAGCGCAAGAGTGGGACTTAAACCTTATTGAGTTTGGAAATACAGATACTAAAGGGTGCTCATTTACCTTCCTTTACAAGTAAATCATTCATAGCCTGATTTGGAATAAGAAGGCAGGTCCTTATGGTATCAGGCTTTCAGAGGTAGACACCATCTTAGCTCATGAGCAGCACAAGATGACATCTACATGAAAAGTATTAAAGTCTTTGTTCACCTTCCCACCACCCAGGGATCCAAAATGGGCGCCAGTAGCTTGAGCTGTTTTATACAGCACAATTTAACCTCAGTGGATTGAAGAAAATAGGTCTTTTTAAGGTGCATGATGGCCAGTCTTTCATTTAGACATTACAAATTCTGCCACCTGATCAAAGTCTGACTTTCAAGCTCTCATGTGGTTAAAAAAGGCTTTTAATTTCAAAACTCAATGATACAGAAATAAAATGGTAAAGAACCCTCCATTCCCCCATATAAGCCCCTTTTACCAGTAAACATTTAACACTCTTGTGTGTGTTTTTTCCCCCCCTGTTCCCTACATTCATGGAAACTTGTCTATACCAATACACCTACAGAAATGGTTACCTCTGTAACTTAACTGCCACATGAGTACCTTTTTTCTTAATCTGTCTTTGTCTTTATTTTTCCAGATTGATGTAGCTCTCTCTTGCTCCTATTAGCTGCTTCATGTTGTGTAATGGGGTCAGCAGATGCATGCTTACCTTGCCATCGTGGCCTCACATATTTCCTGAATCATTCCTAAGTTCTGCTAGGTCTTTCCTCAAGTGACAGACTCTGAGCATCTTTGCAGCTCTGAATTCTCCTGACTTCAGGGCTTAGTTGAGTAGTTAGTTCACTTTCTTTGTCACTTACGAGTCCTAGCAGATCTGAGAATCCCAACCATACTCCTTACATGACATGACAGGGAGGGAGCAAAGGATAGAGATTTATTAAGCCTGCCAGAGACTACAACAGTATCTCAGTAAAGCCCTATAGAACATTGTGAGGGGAGTTACCCTTGTCTTACAGATGGAGAGGTAAAAGATCCAAAAAGTTAATGGCTGCATTCACTGAAAAAAAGGTTTAAGAGCATCTGTTTGTTTTAGGAGTGCCCTTAAAACACAGGAGGAATCATGACAAGGAGTTAAGGACTCAAAGAAATATGAATACTAGTTAATTAAGGATGTTTTTCTTTTGCTATTTCTTGAATTAAGGGAAGATGCCAAAGAATGGGGCCAGAAACAAGGGATCTCGGTGGAGATTTCCAACGTGAAGTTCTGTTGGAACAGCCAGGTGGCAATGCCAGCCGACAGTGTGAACAGACCGAGAAGTGAGAAGACCATGAAGAGTTGTAGGGTGGCATCCGGGCAGCAGTACCCTGGAGTGCTGTGTGTGGACAAAGAAAGGGACCACCCAGAATCAGTGAGTATTTGACTCCACTACTCAGGTACCACTTTGCTTAAATTCTGTGCCTTGCTGTTTTTACATGTTAACATTTCTGATTATGGCTGACAGTATTGTTTTCTGTCTTACTGGTGCACAGTAGAATTACACATCTTAGATTAAGCATGGCCTTTTACGCTTAATTTATCAGGTAATCTGGAGGCTCAGTGACCTCATCGTGAGATTTGTAATTCCTGGACAAAGGAGGCCACACCTGTTCTGCTCCTGTGCACAAGGACCCTGATCTGGGGGAGCTCCCTCCTGCTGAGACCTGGCTGTGGACCATCAGGTTTCTCTGCTGGGTGGCCTTCTGTGTCCCAGGGGAGCTGAGTCCTCAGAACACAAAACCATTTCATCACATGCATTCTATCTCCAACTTCTGTCTCCACAAATCACACCCAAGTGAAGTCTCCCAGTCCTCCAGGTGCAGGCTCATAAAGAAGGGACAGAATGTAGTTTTAAGGTATGATCCAATTTCTGGACACGGTTGCCTTTACTGGTACTGACAGATCCTGGGGCGAAGCCTGGAATTCCTGATATCTTTCCAGAATGAATTGCCATCAGATGCATCAGGGATGCCCCATGAGCATGCGTGGTTTTCTGCTGAGAGGCTTGAGGGCAACTTTTCTATTCCGAAAATCCAGCCACAGAGCAGGAGGACTTGACCGAATCTCTATTCCAACAGCTTAGTCACAGTGGGGCACATCCACTACCTTCCTCTTCAGAAAACTTGTGTGTTCAATTCTGCCTGTAACGGCAAGCAGAAACACCAAAACAATACCCAAGACTTGGAGGCAGATTTATTTATTTCAATGGGTACTGATCAGGATCATTCCCAGAATATCAGGCCCTGATGGCTTGTGGTCTAGGGATTTTATATGATGCACAAGTAGGAGGTACAAAGGCAAGACAGAAGAGCCCGGCAATTTTTCTGATTAGCTAGCAGGGTGAGATCACTGGTTGTAAGGGTAGATTAAAGATCATCAGTTTATGAAGCTTGGTACAATGGTACAATTGGGCATCCTGTATGGTCGGTTACACTCTTGTGGTTACAGGGGTCAAGAAAGTAATTGCAAAACCATGAAGCAGTTACAGAGCTGGGAAGCTTCAAAAGAACAAAGTTCTAAAAAGAACAGTTTCTCTTGTACAGTTTTTCCCTTTTGTGCCCACCGTTTAAGGGGCCTAGAACGAAGAGTCACTGGATCTTCCTTCACTAATGAGAATGAATGCATTCAGAGCTTCAGAGTTCTGACCGCAGGAGGTTAGGAAATTAGCTGCTGACAGATAACACTGGCCAAGTAGCTCAACAGTAATTGGAGACCCCAAAGAGAAATTGTTAACCTTTACATTTCTTTGAATGATAATTGGCTGTCTAGCAAAATAATTCCAACATAGTATAGGGTTTATAATAAATATAAGGTTTTAATCTAGAAGAAAAATAATTATATAAAGATGGGAAAATGATGAGTGAACAACTATGAGAGCATTGTAAGTTTTTCATAAACTGTGTGAAATTACGTGAAGGTAAACTGTGCTAAAATACAAATGTATACTCTACAGCAACCACTAAAAAACAAAGCAGACATATAGCTGATAGGAGAAATGAATGAATGCATTTATGAAAGTTCTCAATTAATCCAGAAAATTGCCTCGAAAAAAGGAGCAAAGAAGAGATGAGACCAACAGAAAAGAAATGCAAGATGAAAGGGAGAGGGCTGGGGATTTAGCTCAGCGGCAAAGCGTCTGCCTGGCAAGCGCAAGGTCATGAGTTCGGTTCCCGGTACCGGAGAAAAACCGAAAAAAAAAAAAAAGATGAAAGGGAGGAATGTAACAAGATCAATGACTGCATCAAATCCAAATTATCTACACAGGGGGTGGGGATTTAGCTCAGGGGCACAGCGCCTGCCTGGCAAGCACGAGGTCGTCGGTTCAATTCCCGGTACCGGGAAAAAAAAACAAAAAACAAAAAACAAAAAACATACCCAAATTATCTACACAGTCTAAATCTGTCCATTAAAAACATACATTGTAATACTAAATAAAAATAACAACATGTGTCCTGTGGGCCTGTGTGCACACCTTTAAAATGTTCTGCAAAAGATAGCCATAAGAATATACACGATAAATAGGCATATTATATTCATAATAGAATTCCTACAAATCCATCATGAAGAAGACAGTTCAATCTAGGAAAAGGAAGAAAAGGGTTGAACAAGCACTTCAAAAAATAGAAGATATATAAGAAGGAATTTTCATCTTCTTAGAGTTGTTGGACCATTTCCCCAGCTGCCCAGAAGGGCTACAGGTTGATAGAATTCTCTGCCAGCCCCTCTGGGTGTTACCTTAGCGTTTTGCCCAGCTCCCACCCTATTCAGAGGGCAGATAACACTGGTGGGAAGCTTTATCCCCTCCTACAATACTAACTGATGAGATTTATTATTTATTTTCCCGTTTTCAGCAAAAAAAATAAGAAGTTTGCTTTATGTTTCTTTCTGTATCACCGGCAAAAGAGCCCAGCCTCCAAGGACAGCATCAGTACTGCCAAGTCCTGGTGACTACGCGGCTGGCCACGTGAGGGCGCTGTGGACCTTCTGAGCGGAATTCAGGGCTTCCCGGAGAGGGCGCGGTCAGGACCGAGTCCTTGCGTGGTGCTTGCTTGGTGACTGGACGCACCAGAGGCTGAGGTTAATCAGGACCCTCGCCCCGCCGCCGATATGCACGTGTGTTTGTCACCACCAGGAAACGTGCTTGCAGCCTTCAATAACCACAACCTCTCCGGGAGTCTCTGTTTGAGGGGAGTGTGAAGGAGTCTCAGCGGGGCAGCCTGGACCACCCCAGCCAGGCAGAGAGCATGGCGCACAGCCTCAGAGCAGAGCGAGAGAAGCTGGAGTGTGGGGGTCTGCCCCACACTCTGCCCTGCGGTGCACTGCACAGCCAGCGCCCCCTGCTGACCGGAAGAGCAGCCGAACTGGAGAAGGCCTGGGTCCTTGATCATGTCCTGGGGTGCAGGAGTCCTACTGGAGGGGACAGGGACGCTGACGTCATAACAGTGACGTCGCTGATGTTGCAGGCAAATGCCGCAAACTGAGAAAAGCAGGGAGCAGAACATAGCAGCTGTTCTCTGGCCCAGGAGACCAGCACGTTGTGTAGGGAGATGCCCTGTCCTGTCCTTCCGGACTCGGCTTGGGGAGCCAGGTGCCTCTGCTGTCTGACTCTTTGTCTCTTGGGTGCAGGTGAGTCCGAGCACAGGTGGGATGGCTCCTGGAGCCTCAGCTCTTCATCGTTGCTGGAATATCACGTTCTCAGTGCTTAGGGCTCACGTCTGTCCTCTTTTTCCCCAGGTTTGCTGGAAGGCGAAGTCACCCAGTCCCCAAGGCACCTAATCAAAGCAAAGGGAGGAAAGTCCACTCTGAAATGCTATCCCGTCTCTGGACACGTCAGTGTGTCCTGGTATCAGCAAGCCCCTGGTCAGGGCCCCCAGTTCCTCATTGAGTATTATGAAACGTCGCAGAGAGCTAAAGGAAACATGCCTGGCCGATTCTCAGCTCAGCAGTTCAGTGACTACCACTCAGAGCTGAACATGAGCGCCTTGGAGCTGGGGGACACGGCTGTGTATCTCTGTGCCGGCAGCTAGACACAGCCTTGCAGAACCACTGGCTTTCTGTACCGCAACCTTCTGGCCCCAGCTGACCATGGAATAGGGAGCGGGTGGGGGCGGTCCCCTTGTGGATGCTTGCAGTGCTTTGTTAACCTTCTCTCTGCCCTGCTATGTTCAGCCACAGGGCTCATGGCTGTTCAGGTTCCAGGCCTGCAGGATGCCCTCCAACCTCTGCCTGGACAGTCCAATTCCTAGCAAGTGTCAGGGGGCCTACTCCGTGCCGATGTGCAGGTGTGTGCAGTGTGTGACTGACAAATACAGTGAATGCCTAAAGTGAAACAGTAAAAGACACATTGCCACTAGCCACACCCACCCCATGCTCCCTCTTGATCCAAACACACTTTTATGAAGCTGCGGTGGTTTTCTTTTGTATCTCTAGCGTGCTACCATGGTTGCCTGTATGTCCAGAATTGATTCAGATGTTTACCTTTCGTGGTTATTGTCACTTTGGGCGTGAATCAGAAGTTGTACAGTCCTAGATCTGATGTGTAAGGTGGGTGAGGACACACTGTATTAATGTTTTCATGATGATACCAGGCAGTAGCATTCAAGGAATGCTGACTACACTCTGTACAGATACTCTGTTTCGGAAAAGGTCAGGAACCATGGCATAAGTGTAAGGAGGGATAGTTTAAGGAAGATTGATGGTCAGGTGTCTTTTACTCTGATAATTTCTTTTTACACTGAAACACTCACTGTATATATTCTTACACCTCGTCTATTATGTGTTTTCACACAAAACACTAGGGCTTCCACTTTATAGATGAAGATCTCAAGATATCACTTTATAGACTGGAAAATGTCGCTCATAGGCTTTCCCAGTGTTTCATATGCACAAGCATCTGAACCACGATTGAAGCCACATCTTCATGCCTCCAAAATCAAAGTTCATCTAAAATCCCATAGTGGTCCCTGATCTTGGTCAATAATATGCTGCAGAACACCAGCCTTCCATTTCAGGGCCACTGGAACAGCAGGAGGAGGTCACATTATAGGATGTGGTTACTATGGCTAATTTACTGTCAACTTCCAGTACACATAATATTAAGTCGGAGCATGTTTGTCCTGTCATAGCTCCTCAGAGGGGAGTATGTTTTCACTAACAGAAAATTTGGGACTGAATCATTCATTGAAAATTAAATGAAAAGGAAATAGTGTTGGTAGATGAGATATTGCTGGGAAATGCTTATCTCCCCAAAGAAGTTAAACCTTTCTAGATACCAAGTGGCTCAGGTTCCCAAGTGTGTCGCCCCAGACTGATATCCAGTAATTCCATGTAGGCAAAAAAAAAAGTACTTGAGGTGACTTTTTAGCAGAGAAATGATAGAAGGCATGAGGACTGCCATGAGGAGTCTCTTAGACTAGAGAAAAATGAGGAAAAATGAGAACAGCATACAACTAAGTATTTACATCATAATGAGATGCTTAGAGGAACAGATTTCCATACTAAAATCAGGGAAGGGGCATATGCACTTGTAATTAAAAACAGGCAGTACATTATTTTCCACTTTGGGCTGTTAAGCTGTGTGTTTATGGTATGTATACCATGAAATCCTACATGCACACGTGCATACAAGAGCAAACACACATTTATAAGTGAAAATTGCCTTGTAGGGAGGGGGCGGGGCAGGTTAACTGTACAACACATACGTTTATCAGGGAGGGTGACATCACTGAGTCACAGAAAACCCAAGCTCTGCTTCCCCGAAACAGGCTGGAAGACTCAAGATCACTCCTGGCTGCGAAATGGGCAGCAGGCTCTTCTCCTGTGTGACCTTCAGTCTCCTGTGGGCAGGTGAGTGCGGGTCATAGGTGAGCTTCCTTCCTTAAATTCCCCAAACCTCAATACAAGCCTTGCTGTCTAGAGGACATCACCAGGCTCTTTCTCTATCGCAGGACACATAGAGGCTGGAATCACCCAGAGCCCAAGATACAAGGTCATAAAGACGAAAGAAAAGGTGACTTTGAAATGCCACCAGACCGACAACCATGACTACATGTACTGGTATCGACAGGACCCAGGGCACGGACTGAGACTGATCTATTACTCATACGGTGTTAAGAACCTTGAGAGAGGAGATGTCTCCGATGGATACAACGTCTCCAGAGAAAACACAGAAGACTTTCCCCTCACTCTGGACTCAGTCACCCTGTCCCAGGCATCTATGTATTTTTGTGCCAGCAGTTTTTCCACAGCGCGGCAGTGCTGCTTCCTCTCTGTACATGAAGTGCAGTTAGGAGGCTGTGGTTGTCAGTGCCCACAAACCCCGGCTCCACCGTGAGACGTCCCAGCCTCTGTAGGAGGCACAGAGTCCTTGCCAGCCTGGGACCTCCCAGTCTAGCTCTATGTCCTGAGGTCCTCGCCATGCTGGTCTGAGCCTGGCTGGAGGTCACCTCAGCACCCTTAGTTCACTGGTTCGCTCTTCTGTATCTCTTTCTGATGGCAGAAATGCATCTTTAGTTGAGATACAATAACTCCCTTGGTAATCTCCAAACCAGCATCTTTTGCTCACCCCTGAGCATTTCATTGACTTCTACTACCACCCAACTCTGTTATTAACAGTCTGTTCCCAGCAGCCTTTGCTGTCTGGGGTCCTGGTCCTATGAGGTCCTGTGTCACTGCATGTCACTCATCTCTCCATCACCAGCTTGTACCAAATTTCTCAGCTGTCTCTCCTCCAGCCACATTTCTCCACAGTCCATTCTGTCCTCCTCTGTCATTTTCCACCCGGGGTACATTTTTTCCCCAAACCATTTCTTCTGGGCAGAACATATGTCCCTTCCTCTTCTTCCAGGATCTCAACTTCATTCCTCTCATGAAAACATATTTCAGATACACTTCATTATGAAAAACAAATTTAAATCTGCTACAGTGGATTGAGAAAAATATTTTTAGCTTTCCTTTGAGGGAGGATATTTTTAAGAGAGTCACAAAAGAAAATAGAACACATGAGGAATATTACCATTTCAGTTGTATTAAAGTCTTTACATCAAAACTCAATGCAAAAGGTAAAAAATTAAGTGACAGACCAAGAAGAAGCATGAGGAATGGCCCTGAGTGGTGAAGATCAGTGTGACAGAGCACATTAATGCTCATCGCACACAGGTGGCTCCTTTATGATTCCCAGCCTATTTCCAACTGGAAGATTTAGAGTCCGTCTCCAGGTCCAGATGGATAAAAATGATGTACGTCAGTGCCCACTCTGGCCCTTAAAAATATCCTACGGCACTCTGTTGGGAGTCCCCATGTGTACCCCCACATTTGGAGATTTGGTAGTGGTATTCACGTGATATAATAGAGAACTTTACTCATGGTTAAAATTCATGACAGTGACATAGTCAGTATTCAGCAGATCATAGTGCCAAAGCACACAGATAGGATCTAGGGGAATCCGCCTTCAACTTCCTTATGCTTCTTTCCTTCCGGGAGTTGTTAACAGAACTCTCTCCCCCAGACATTAAAATATGTTCTGTGTTTTTGCCAGTGGAGCCCGCGAAAATTCAGAGCCCTAGAGGTTTTGCTGAAGACTGGCACATGGTGCTCACCATGATATTGGTTGCACTAACAGTCTAGGCACCATGATCCACCTTATTTACCTAGGTCAATTTTTATTTCAGTGCAGGGCACCGTTCAACAGCCAAACTTCCAGATGCCAGGCAAAGCTCGACCTTGTGAGTAGGACTTTCTAAGCACAGCAATTCAGCCTACTATGTCAACTGTTTTCTGCACAGACATCCTTCAACTCTGTTTTGCTGTGCATTGATAAACTTTGAAGCTATAGGTTGCATTATTCCTGATTATAATATATAATTAGATTGGATTACTAGTGTCTTAGGCAAAGTCTGTCACTGCTGACACAAGATACCTGATGCCCGAAATTAAGGAAGGAAAGGCTTATGTAGCTCACAGTTTGTGGAGGTTTCAGTCCATAATCAGCTGGCTCCAAGGCAGGGTGGCATGGCAAAGGGGCAACACTTGAAGGTGGCAGAAGACAGTAAAAGAAGCAAGAGCAACATGGGGAGGGATCAAGCCTCTTTTCTTCCCTTATGTGGTGTGCAGGCTACCTGCCCTAGGGTGGGTCCTTTGCACTCACACCATCTCAGGTGCCTCCTCTTGCACAGGCTCAGGGTGTTTACAAAGTAAGGACCCTGGCCCCCTGCTCAGTTGCTTAGTTAAGCTTCTAAACTTCTCAGATTGACACAATGTATCAACCAGTACAACTAGGTTACAATTTGCAGACAATCACAGCAGAAACCTGCTCCTGCCACATTGGGCTTTATAGGCAGGACAGAATGAAGGCCTTGAGTTTTAGGATTTCTCTTGTATGGTTTTGTTTTCTGTAGCATAGTTAGCCTTGTCTAATAGCATTAATGTCTAGGATGGGTAAATACGTTCATTACATAAAAAGGAAAAAATAGCTCAATAAAACTAGCAACAGGTACTTTTTAAATTGGCAATAGTAAATAAGAATTGCTGCTAAAAAATGTATTAGATTCTCAACCTTAGAATCAAAGTATTGCAAACTGGATCAATAAGTTATACCTTCAAAATTATCTGAATGGAAAATTTTGAAAGAAAACATTTTGAGAGATATTTTCTAACAAACAGCCTTTCTGGATAAATTATCAATATATTTAAATTACTTGGGGTTCCTTTGTTTGTCATTGGTATCATTGTGGAGAATTTAGCTGTTGATATTTATTTTTGTTATATGAAGATAGTACTTTCAAAATATATTTTAAGAATTATAGTAAATATATATATAGCATAACATTTTTGCTTTAACTAATGTAGGGAAACAAAGACTGTCTCTGCCCTCTAAGATTTAGATAGATGAGTCTATGAAATCAACTGACAACAGACAGATGAACAGGAGAAAAGGCATGTAAAGTTACTACACACATTAGAACATCAAATTAAAGGAAAGTCAATCCCTAAACATCCAGTAAGATCTACAGACTTATATAACTTCTTCAAAGGATGTGGGGAGGGGTGATGTAGGTAACTTAGGGGAAAGCAAATGATTTTGGACAGATGAAAGGGCTCTCAAAAGAATAAGTTATACCTGTGACTATGTCTGTCTGGGCATAAGGGCCTCTAGCCTCCTCAGTTACCATATAAATTAATCTTTGATGGATGGGATTCTTGGGGAGAGGGATCATCTTACTTTTCAAGTAGATCAAAGAAGTTCAGATAAAGCCCCTTCCTGCACTAGACATTCCCCAAGAGCACACAGTTGGAAATATTCAACAAACCAAAGCTGCATACTTTGGAATGGCATTTCCTGAGAATCTTCATTGATTGTAAAAGTACAGCTGAGTGGCATTTAAGTATGTCCACCATGATGTAGAACTATTCTACTCTCTATTTCCAAAATATGTTACATATCCTCAAAGAGAAACTCTACGGCCGGTGTGCAATAACTCTTCATTTCCCCTCCCGCAGTCTTTGGCAAATTTTTAACCTACTATCTGTTTGCATCAATTTTTCTTTTTTAGAAAGTTTGTATGTATAGAATCATAAAGTGTCATTTCTTTTGTGTCTGGCTTCTTTCACTAAGCATAATGCTTTCAAAGCTCACTCAGTGTTGTGGCATGAATCAGAACTTCATTCCCCTTTATGGCTGAATAATACACCATTATATGGATACACATTTTGTTGATCCATTCATCAGTTTATGGACATTCGAGTTGTGTCTAGCTTTTGGCTATTGTGGATTACAGTGCGATGAACATTAGTGTTCAGAAAACATTCTCCGTTTTTCATTTATTGGAAAACATAACTGGGAGTAGAATTGCTGTGTCATATAATATTTCTGTTCAATCTATTGAGTAACTGCCAAAAATGTGTCTTTTTCCTTTTAGCAGCTGAACAATTTTACATTCCCACAAGGAGTATATGAGGTTTCCAGTTTCTCAAGAGCCTTACCAACTCTGTCGCTTTTGTTTGTCTGCTTCTACTCTTATTGTGTTTCTTACTATGACTACGTCTGTCCCTTTACCTGTGAAGTGCTATCTCATTGTGGTTTTGATTTGTATTTACCCAGTAACTATGATATTAAGCATCTATTCATGTGTTTACAATCCTAGTGCATATTCTTTTTGGAGGGATGTTTTTTATTTGTTTGTGGCTTAGAGCCTGTAGGTTCTTGAGTTTCAGTTGTTTTACTGTAAGCTAAATGAGGTTAGGGCTGAACTTCAGATGGGAGATTTGTTGTTGACAATATTTTTAGTGTAGTACTTCTCAAACATTTCTAATATGCTGTGGAAGAAAGAACATTAGTAAATTTATTGATATTCCTAAGAGGCAGAGTTCTTAATAAGAGAAAAAAGCAAAAAGAAAGGGGAAAATATGAGGAAGAAATTTGTGGGGTTGACTTGAATTGGAAGTATCAACATGAACTTATGGTTTTTTTTTTTTTTTTTTTTTTTTTTTTTTTTT